AAGCTACGCCTGCCTCTTTGTAGGTTACGTGGAACAATCCCTCTTCCATACCTACACCGACTGGCCCTAAACCCCACCTCTTCCTCCGTTACATTGATGACTGTATCGGCGCCGCCTCGTGCTCCCATGAGGAGCTCGAACAGTTCATCCACTTCACTAACACCTTCCACCCCAACCTTAAGTTTACCTGGACCATCTCTAACACCTCTCTCCCCTTCCTGGAACTCTGTCTCCATATCGGGCAACCACCAAGAAACCGATATTCATTTCAAGCCCACCGACTCCCACAGCTACCTAGAAAACTCCTCCTCCCACCCACCTTCCTGCAAAAATGCTATCCCCTATTCCCAATTCCTTCGCCTCCACCGCATCTGCTCCCAGGATGAGGCATTCCACTCCCGTACATCTCAGTGGTCCTCGTTTTTCAAGGACCGTAACTTCCCCCCCCCTCTGGTCAAGAACGCCCTCAACTGTGCCTCCCACATCTCCTGCAACTCATCCCTCACACCCCGTCCACGCAATAAGAACCAAAAAAAAATCCCCCTCGTCCTCACGTATCACCCCACCAACCTCCGACACTTCCGCCATCTGCAATCCGACCCCACCACCAAAGACATCTTTCCCTCCCCATCCTTATCGGCTTTCCGGAGGGACAACTCTCTCCGTGACTCCCTTGTCCGCTCCACACTCCCCTCCAGCTCCACTACACCCGGCACTTTTCCCTGCAACCGCAGGAAGTGCTACACCTGCCCCCATACCTCCTCCCTCACCCCCATCCCAGGCCCCAAGACGACTTTCCACATCAAGCAGATGTTCACCTGCACATCTGCCAATGTGGTATACTGCATCCGCTGTACCCGGTGTGGCTTCCTCTACATCGGGGACCGCTTTGTAGAACACCTACGCTCGGTTCGCAATAAACAACTGCACCTCCCAGTTGCGAACCATTTCAACGCCCCCTCCCATTCCTCAGACGACATGTCCATCCTGGGCCTCCTGCAGTGCCACAACGATGCCACCCGAAGGTTGCAGGAACAGCAACTCATATTCCGCTTGGGAACCCTGCAGCCCAATGGTATCAATGTGGATTTCACAAGTTTCAAAATCTCCCCTCCCACTACCGCATCCCAAAACCAGTCCAGCTCGTCCCTGCCTCCCTAACCCGTTCTTCCTCCCACCTATCCCCTCCTCCCACCTCAAGCCGCACCTCCATCTCCTACCGACTAACCTCATCCCGCCCCCTTGACTTGTCCATCCTCCCTGGACTGACCTATCCCCTCCCTAACTCCCCACCTACACTCACCTTTACTGGCCCCATCCCCGCCTCTTCGACCTGTTTGTTTCCTCTCCACCTATCCTCTCCTCTATCCGCCTCCCACTCTCTCCCTATTTATTTCAGAACCCCCTTCCCCTCCCCCTTTTCTGATGAAGGGTCTAGGCCCGAAACGTCAGCCTCTCTGCTCCTATGATGCTGCTTGGCCTGCTGTGTTCATCCAGCCCTGCACCTTGTCTCATACACAACTATTTGTGCAGAAAGCAGAACTTTTTTTTGGCAGCATCCTGTTTGTGGCAAACACTACAGATGCTGATACTGTAAAGTAGCAGCACAAGACAACTAGCTTCATAGGTTTTCTTCTGAGACAACTTAGCCTCCAAAGCTAGCCTGAGGCAGATGGGTCACTTTTCAGAACCTAAAGTGGTTGCATTAGCCCCATTCTTTAGTTTGCTGGATAGCGAGAGAAGATCCAATCACTGTACCCATTATCTCACAGCATGGCTTTGATGCACCTCATTTCAGCTTCAAGCTTGCAAGATGAGCAAGTGATGTGGGCTCTGTTTGGAGGTTGCCAATGAAACCAACTTTATAACCATGCAACTATTAGATTCCCAATGTATACACTGACTGCTGACAGTAGGTTTGTAGATGGTAGCAGAGAACAATAACAGATTTCTCAATTAGCACATCAAAGGGCTACTCCATTTCAAAAAGATAAATGGAGTGCAGATGGGGCTTAAGACAAGGAAATTTGTATATAGTGCTGCAGATTCAAACATTATTGTTGTATCATCTACACACTACAAATATGCAAAGAATAGGAAATTAGATCTTGCCCCAAAAATGTTTCTCACTGAACCTAAGATGCTGGCAATAGCTGGGTTTAGAAGGGATCCGATGGTAACACCAACTACTTGATCGACATGACATCATTAAAACTGAACTCAAATACCTAAGTTGTTCAATGAATATTGATGTTGGCAGGTCTAGATCAACATGGTATAGTGCTGCACCACAAAATGTGTCGGACTTCCTTAAATGATGCATTGGTGAACAGAATGTCAAATGAGCATGTGGACATGGCGTTGCTATCAATATGCAAATGTGAAGGTGTATTCACTGTAGATGTGGAAAACCTACTCAAAACAGTGATACATTTCCCATCCATTTGGTCAACTCATGCTGTGCAGAACCAAATCATAGATGAGACAGGATGTAAAAGGTACCACTGACTGCCAATAAATTTGCACTGTCTTCTCTCAGTACAAGACACTTCTTTTATTGATTTGCAAATATCATGTATGGATGAAAAAATTAACATTTTAACATCATTTTGTTTTAAAATCAAACGCTTTCAATGTTTATACGATGTTTTTAACCTGATTACTTAGTCCAGTGGAATTTTTCAGTCTATGTGCAATTAGACTTTCAGGTCATGAAAACTTGTCTTGAATAAAATAGTGTATTAACAAAATAAAAATATAGTCTCTTTTGTTCTAAAGAAGCACTGAAGCAGTTTATTGAGTATACACGTTCACTTGTTACTACCAAACACCATTTCTTCACAAAAAAAAAAAAAAAAAAAAAAAAAAAAAAAAAAA